TAGTACAGGAGATTCGCACTTTTAATGTGTCCTTTCGTAAATGTGGATTTATATGTATATGTTCCGTGCGTGTTCTCGCGTGTACGCGTGTACATGCCAAACAGGACATATAAAAACGACGCTTTCCGAAGCGAAAATTAAAAATATTAAAAACTGAGCTCTCTTTCTGCCTATTTGTATCTCTCACACACCCACACACAAACCACTACCTCTCTCTCTCTCTCTTTTTAGTTGCTGGAAGAATGGCGTCGCCTACTTTTTTAGATTAAAATCAAACGATGCTTCGTATATTTGAATCTGTCCTCGATATTTTGTATAGAGAGACGTCCCTGAAATTGCCTAAAAAGAAAATGAATTGGAACAGTTTTATCGATGATATTTCCAAAAGATAGATTAGTATATGTATGCTACTACCACTAAATCTTTTTTTTTTATCACATCAAATATAAAAAGAAAAAATAATTTGCAAAATTTTCCCCCTTACCCTCTGCTGCCTGTCTGCCATCAAATCTGACTACAAAATTTCGAATTAAATATATTTGTAGATTCATTTTGAAAAAGTATTATGAATATAATATAATGGGGGAGGGAAAAAAATCATAAACGAATGAGTATGATGAATTTGAGTGGATGATGGAAGAAAAAAAAAAGAAAAAAATAGAAGAAATGAAAAAGAAGGGAAAGAGAAAGAAAGAAAGAAAGAAAGAAAGAAAGAAAGAAAGAAAGGAAGAAAGAGTAGGTGAAATCAGAGTGCAGAATCCATTAGCAGGAAGCAGAGGGTGTTTGGGAGGGTGTTTGGGAGGGTGTTTGAGGGTAGAGGAGGGGGATGGGTTACGTTTTACCATCGACGCGTGATCTTTCATTCTGCAACGAAAACGGAACGTGTATAGTCTTTGCACGTGTGAGATAAAACATACATATATACAGATATATACACATATACCTATGAATGTGTACGTTATGTGGTTGCTTATGTGAAAAAGTTTGGGAAAGTGGTCGTATAGTAGGGATTCTCTCTCTTTCTCTACCATTCTTCTTTCTATTCTACATCATTCGCCATCTAAATCTACCGAAATCTGATAGGACTCGAGCAATGTCGCGAAAGATAAAAAAAAAAAAGAAAAAAGAAATAAGAGGAAGAAAGAAATGACACATGACTGATATTAGATTTTTCTTCCCCTTTTGGAAAGGAAGTAGACACATTTTATCGATGTTTGACTACAATTAGTCAATTTTGACGGATAATATCACCTTATGCTATTTAATTTAATTATTCTAATTTACGAATAAAATTGCAATAGATAATCTTTTTATATCAATATAATTTTGTAATATCAGATAACCGAACACACACAAATTCACTACATCGTGTTAATTAAATAATATTAAATAATATGCAAGAGCTTTTGAATTTTGAAAATTGAATTTTCACATAATCATCCGAATAATGTTACATTTTGATCGCAAAATAATGTGCGTGCTTAATGAGAACAATGGTAGGATAAAAAATAAAATAATATAAAAAGAAAATATCTGAAACGTCGTTGAAATCGAAATCGGAAAGCGATTACCAAGAAGAGAGTGCCGTTGTCCATCGGTCTCTTCTATTTTTTTTTTGCTCTTTCAAATGGTTAAACCGTTGTTAAAACTTAATCCGTAACGTTCACAAGGACTTTTTACGCGCGCGCGTCTGTATCTGTGTGTTGTATGTGTATTTAACAGAATGTTCGATACGAAACGGACAAGATACTCGAACGCTTCTATATCTCTACCTTTTACTACTTTTCTCCATTCTCTTTTAGGAATTTCCCTTCCTTCTTCCTGTTTCCGCAAACCTAAGTGCTTTTCCTTTCACAACGGCCAGTCGTTCTAAATCGCGACGCGAATACAAACGGGTTTCTTTTTAGTAAAAGAAAAAGAAATAAAAAAAAAAAAAAGAAGAAAAAGAAGAAGATAGAATTTGAGTGATTGATTTTAGTATATGCAACACTATACTACGATCAAATCATTGAAATACAATAGTTAAATAAATGAATCTTAGTTAGTTTAAATTTATTGACTAAAAAGAACAAATAAACAAACGATACAAATACAATTCTATTTGGATATATGAAAGATACGAATTAAAATGAAAATTCCTACAATTTGATCTACGTTTATTAAAGAAAAGAAAATATATAGGACATGGTTACAATTTTATTCGTATAAAGGGTAAGAACAATTTAAATATCTATTTCGAGACTACTAAATATCGTTTCTATCGTTAGAACTGTTGGGGGTATAACTTCATGAACGAAGAAGAGTAGAAAGATCCGATAGCATATCGGATCATTTTTGAAAGTAAAAGAAAGAATGAGAGAATGAGAGAGAAAGGAAAAGAGACGGAGTGCCATTTAACGAACCATTAAATCTTATCTCTCACTCAGCTGTTCGTAATGAAGAACACGAAGTGGATTTATCGTAAGGCGTTGTGCAATTATTCATCCCTTTCGATAATACCCACCACCGGGAATAAGCGAGAATTCGATTTATTAGTACACATTTATCGCACTTACGGTACCCGCCGATTCGTTTCTCATTTAGTTACTTTATTTTAATTACGAGAAATACAAGGATTTATAAATGCCGAGCAACGTGAGTTTCCAAAATTAATCATATTCATATTTATGACTCTATGCACATCATGTTATTGTTGTCGTGTTTTCATTTTTCCCTTTTTCTACTTCATTTCGCGACAAAATACAGTATATATACAAAAATACTTCGTCAAATTAATATTATATTTAATTGTACAGACACAAATTCCTAAAAAAAAAGTCTAAATTTTTGATATTCGTTTTGGTATCCTCATTGTCTCTGCCATTTTGGAGAACACGTTCGTTTGCAAGTTTCCGATTACGAGTCAAAAATATTATTCATCATTTACGAACGTTAAAATCGAATAAAAATATTGTCGAAAGAGGCGATAAAAAATGAAAAAGAAAAAATAAATAAAAGGATAACTAAACGTGTCCTTTCTAAACGTAGAAATTATTCGCTATTGGTTTCTTGCCAAAGTGTCCCACACAGATCCTCCAACGATACGATCTGAAGTGCTATACTCTTCTCTTTTGAACGTTTTGCCACGTAAACCCCTATCCCTCTCTTTACCTCCGTTTGAATTATTTTTCTCCATTTTTGTTCATTTTTGTCGTATAGGTTTGAACACTTTTTATTTTCTTTTTTTTTCGCGAGTCCCTAGCAAAATGGCGCGACGAGCTTGACCGACCGGTAAATATTAGAACCTGGTATGAGGTACTACTACCACTTATTCTTCCCTGTCTCAACGCATTCCTACGCTCATAAACAAAGTAATGACGTGCCAAACGTAAAACCCAATTCCAGGATTTTCGAACGAACCCCGTCCGTCCGTCCGTTCGTCCTTGTCGTCCTTCCTCTCTCTCTCTTTTTATTCTTGTCTTCCTACGCTTTCAACTGTACCAGTCCTACATATCTATGTGCATGCATGCATGCATGCATGCATGTATGTATGTATGTATGGTTACGCGAAAAGTGCTACGATAAAAGCGAACTACGACTGTTGGGGGCGTGCATGTAAATCACGTTTGCTACGTAGAGAGAAGGAGAGAAAGAGAATGAGAAAGTACGAGGAGTGGAAAGGAAGAAGGGAACAAGGGTGGGAAGGGGTTGAATTCGGTTCTCTTCCATCTCTTTTCCACGAGTATATATATCGAGTTGTTCCTAAACAATGCTTCCGTTTGAACGATCTCGTTCTCCTTCTTCTTCTTTTTTTTCCTTCTTCTTTTTCTTTCGTTCTTTCTTTCCCTTTTTTTGACTATTCCCTTCTTCTTGGTTCGCGTCTTTATCGTACGAATGCCGGGTAACGTCCGGTACCAAGACTTACGCTAGCAAATCGAGCAAAAGAAGAAACTCGGAACTCTTTTCTGAAATTTCTCTCATTTCCGTTCTTATTTTTAGTTTCCATTCTATCCTATTTTTTTTCTTTTTCTTATTCTTTTTTTACTCGCGTTCCATCTTTCCTTTTGTCTTTCCTTTCTCCTCGTTCCTTTCGTTGCGTAATAAAAAAGAAAAATTGTCCGTAATGAAAAATATATTTAATCATTTTTTTTTTATTCGTGTGGGACGAATTTTTGTCCTTGGTTAAGTAATAAATAATATTAAGAAAAATTGTTGATAATAAAGTAAAATAGTATCTCTAACTTTATTGCATATCGTACGAAAATTATTCTCATTCGAATGATATAACTTGAAATTAATTTTTCATGGAACATCGTAGGAAGTTTATAGAAAAATCTGTTGTTTGGACAAGTGGTTCCCTTTTCACGAAAGGCATTAGGCTAATAATACTTACGTTATAATATATGCGTATCGATGATAACTTCAAAAGTAAAAGCGTTTTCGTATCGACGTTATACTCGCGCTTCTTTTTCTTTTTTTTTTTTTTTTGTCAACTAGTTAAAACGATAACGAATTCGGTTTGTATTTTCGCAGGTGTACACGTTAGCTCGATCATATGATATCGAAGAGCAATGCTTTTTGTCGGATCACGGTATCTCAGGATTGTACGATTTTTCTTTAAACTTTGATAATTTCAAATGCATTTAGTATGGTAAGAAATTAATTACAAATACACGGTTTATATATATTTATATAAGGTCTAATGATAATCGTGTTACATATGGACCATTTATTTTGAAAATTGTGCAAGTCCATTTACAGCACGTAAATATACATATTATTTTAGTTAAATTAGCTTCAAAGAAATATAATTATAATATAATCAAATGATATAATTAAATTACATATCGATAAATTAATAGAAACATTACCAAAACTTATGACACAATTAATAAATACTTTTATTTTCTGGTAACAACATAAAATGAACTTGCACCCCTTCAAGATAAACAGTACATATGTAATGTTAATAATAATAATTACGTTTAATGACTATTTGATGATATTCATTTATGTTTCAGACTGTCCGATTGTCGAGGATGCAAGGATGGATCGAGCACTTGTGATAAGATTTAGACATAACTATGTCAGACCACGAAGATATACATACTTCAAAAATACAACATTACGTTAGTGCAATTGTGACGTGATGAATAATTAACGAAAAAGGGCGTGTGTCTATCTCTTCGACCCTTATCCTTTCTCCCGTTCCTTTCCCCCATCATTTCTACCTGTCTAGTCCTTGTTTATCATCTTTATTGTACATTCTTCTCTCGAGAAGGAAGTTGGATACTTCGATGAAAACACAAAAACAGTGAAGAGAATAGATAAGAAGAATATGAAAAATAAAGGACTAGGTTTTGGACAAAAAAGATCGATGAAAGAAGAACAACGACAAAATTTCCTAAAAAAGGATAAAGGATATTTTCTACGATATCTCGATCGAAATCAAATCAGTATCATCGTACGTTATTATCATCGATATAATAATATGTTCGATTATTTTTACGAGAAGAGATAGAGAGAGAGATTCTGTTCTTTTTTTTTTCTTCGAAAAACATTGTTCTTTATTTCCTTTTTGAATTTCTCTATTTTTTCTTTCTTTTGACTTTTTTTAATTCTCCATTCGAGAAGCAACACGCGTATTGCTGAGAAAAATATATTCAGAAAAAAATATATTTATAAATGGGTGTATAATGCGTGGCACGGTGTCAATTAAAAAAAAAAAAGGGATACGAGGATAAAAAAAAAAAAAAATAATTAAGAAAAGCGACAATGATTTCGATTTGACTACTATCTCCCTGCTTACCCCTCCCCATCCTTCTACCCCCTTATCACCTTTCGATTTGTATCGATATTTCGCCGTATGTAAAAACGATCTCTGTCATTTGTTAAGATAAACCTCATAGTGTTCTAAGTGACGCACGTTATAAATATATACATAAATAATTATATACATAGATATATATATATATATATATATATATACATATATAGATATACGAATACAAATATAAATACAAATATAAATATATAAATAAATAAAAATGAATGGAATATATACGATATGCATGTAATTAAACAAAATTATTATGCGAGAATGAATGAGTGTGTTTATGTGTGTGTGTGTGTGTAAGAAAAAATGGGAGTGAGTGATAGTAAAACGGATGTTTACTTATAGAAAAACAAAAACAAAAAAACACGTTGCACGTTATAAATATAATATACACACGAAGATGATAACATACAGAGAAACACATGGAAACCCATGCTTATGATATTAAGAGAGAGTGCAAGGAAGAAAGAGAGAAAATATTAAATATATAAATATATATAATATATATATATCGTTTATGTTCGAGCAAAAATTATTAACTAAAAATTTCTTAATAAACATAATGTTTAATAAACGATCAATATAAAGCTTGCTATATATATTCTGTTACAGAAAGAAAATATAGTAGAAAGCATTGATTTTTTCATTTACAAATTTTGTTCCATGAGCAATAATTCAGATTAGTATAAATGTTAGTTAATAATTTTTGTTTGAACGTAGACGATATATAAATACATAAATTAATCATATTCATATATGTGCGTGAGATGTGTACGATATAAGATACAAGGATCTATATATACATATATATATAGATATAGATTAATTAATATTTATAAGATTATATAAAAGAAAGATAATAATTATAATAACAGTAATAATAATGATAATGTTGATTACTATTATAAGTAAAGTATATTACTTTATGATATTTAAAAAGATAACAAAAAAAAAAAACCAAAAAAAAACATAGAATGATGGAAAGAGATTATCCTTGCATGCAAACGTGCGTGCGTGTTTTTTTGTCTTTCTCTCTCCCTCCATATTTTTCCCTTTCGTTTAAATAATTCTTCTTCTTTAAAACAAAAAAAAAAAAATAGAAAAAAAAACAGGGAAATTAGAAATGAATGAGAAAGAGAGAAAGAGAAAGAGAGAGAGAGAAAGAGAAAATACGAAAGTAAGCCTTCCTTTTCTATTAATCGGTAAGAGGGTTTAATATCATAAGTGTTCATATATAAGATAATTATAAATAAATTATCATTAAGGGATGTTAACCAGGTGAATGGGGGATGGAAAGAGGGAAGAAAGAGAAATGGGGAGGCTGTGAACGATGTAAAAACGTCACACTTAACCATGCTAGAACGATAACGATGCGAAAGCGATTAACAGTTGAAAAATAGGAACGTTATTTTTATTATTATTATTATTATTATTATTATTATTATTATTTTAATTATTATATCTCTTTGTCTATTCTACTAAAAATAATTGATAAGATGTCGTGCCAAAAAAAAAAATTAAAAAGTGAATTAAAAAATCGTGTGTCGCGTTGTTAAACGATTTTAATTGTTTAATTCGATTAAAAATCGATCTATGCTAAACATAATCTCGTAAATAAGGTCTTTTCTCCTACTTAATTATTGAAATATCAGTAATCGTAAAGATTATTTTATTCCTTGAAATCAATTCATTAGATTATCAATAAAATATTGAAAATATGTACTATGATGATGATACTTTGCAATTATTCTTCTTTTTTGTTTGATTTTTTTTCTATTATGAGAGAGAGAAAAAATATAGTAGAAGAACGTGGACGAAAGGTAGACGATATTAAACTAAATTGTAGCTCGTATATCCGTCCACTGTGTACAAGAAAAAAAAATGAAAAAAAAATAAAGAAAGAAAAAGAGATACGAGAGATCGAATTCGCAAACGCATCGTCGTCGTATGCATCTCGATTGTAAGCTCATTAAATGATAATTATTATAGATCGTAATAAGACTTAGAGATTAAAAACGAAAATGAAGGATATTGAGATCAGAGTTATAGTTATTAGTAAGAAAAGGAAGGAGCAAACACGAAAGATAATTTTCTTTTTTTTTTTTTTCTAAAACAATTAAAATAAAAGCGAAAATGATTCTTTTCTAGATAGAATTATTATTACTATTGTTATTATTTTTATTATATTATTATGAGAATACTTATTACACTATATTATATATTATTATTATTTTATTTGTAATTATTTGATTATATTATTATAATTATGATTATACTTATATATACGTATATAAGTAAAATAAATTCTTAGTAATCGTCTTAAAAAAAAAAAGGGGGAACACGCGTGCAGAAATATTTGCGCGTGTGTGCGTATCATAATTATATTCAAGAGAGCCGCCACCCGGCATATTATAATTAGAATCGATGTGAAATTAACTAGATAAATTTTGTCGAAATAGATATATAGATAGATAGATAGATAGATAGATAGATAGATAGATAGATTAGATGGAGAAAGTTTTTGTCGATCGATTTATAAATCGAACTACGGCGAAAATCGGATTTTCTGGGTACGGAAATAAATGATCATCCTATTTAAATAATTTTAGGATATAAAAAAACGCTTAAAAAAATCCTAGCTAAACTATCTCTTCTGTACTAATTGTAAGAGATCTGAAAAAAGATAAAGAAAAATTATGTTTACGTTTTTCTTTTAGATTCAACTAAATCCAAAAAAGGAATATGAAATATATATATACAATTATATATTTCAAATAAATATGACTAAGAAAAAGAAGAAGAAGAAAACTCGACGATTTTCGTCGTTTCTCTTTAGTAATCGAAATAAATGAAATAATAATAATGATAATACATATAAGATAATGCAAAAAGACGCAAATTATCCTTGGCGAGTTCGATACGAGTTTCAAAATAGGACTGGATTCGAACGAGTATGCTGACCTTTCAATAAAAAAAAATATATCGGAAATAAAAAGAAGAAAAAAAAAACAAACGAATTTTTTTTTTCTCGAACGCATCGAATTTACATACGTACATGATATTTCTGTAATCGTAAAGGGATATAAACTGTACCATGTCACGAATTCGTAAAAGAAAGACAAAACAATATAAAATTCGACTCTTGTACGATATATAAGATTTATACATTAAAAGAAAAAACCTGTGGACTTATAGTTAAGAATCTGATATGTGACAAAAGTTACTCTTTGATATGTTGATTTGATCCAAAGATTTTTATTCGATCATGATTTCATCGAAATAAAATAAAAAAAGAAAAAGATATTATTCGAGTTTTTATCGATTAGATACAATATTATAATCTCTATTAAATTTGTCAAATATATAATTTTACGTACGTATTAAAGAACATTTACATTTACATCTTAAAAAATAAAATTGTCCTTGTTAATAAGAATAATATCTTGAAACTAAAAATACGTGACATGGGCTAAGTTTTTCCCTAACAAGAACAGATTTAAACATAAAAAAAAAATAAAATAAAAGTTCGACTAGAAAATAAATATTCTTTCTTTCTTTTATTTCTTTTTTTATTTTTATTTCTCTTAGCTAGCGAAAGATATCTTTTGTATACATTGTTTCTCTTACTAATTAGTATAATCAAATTTTAGAGAAACGCGCAAAAGGGAATCTCGCGAATCGTAATAAATCGTAACGAACGTCGACGATATTATACATATTTTATATATGTATAAAATACACACATAAAATTGATTCTTTGTAATAAATAGTAGGTGTAGATTGTTTTTTTTTCTTTTCATTATTTTAAGATGCAAAATCATATGTGCGGTAATGAATAAACGTAACAGGCGGATGATAAACAAAGAAATAAATAAAATAATGTTTTCAGGATGTATGAGATAACGTACATGTAGTAGTACACATACACACATATTTGATACTTGAGTTATATATTTAAACATAAATACTATTTAATATATGATTCAAGCTTACAATAAACGGGTTGTATAGAATTGTCTCTCTTTTAAATGATTTATTATAATCAACATGCACTTCCATTCATTCCTATCCATTTGATATTTATGTACATATCTATGCAGAAAAGATTAAAAAAGAAAAGAAAAATTATATCGAAGAATATATATATATAAAATTTTAGTACATATATAAAATAATATAATTTATTAATTTAGATAATATAATGTACCGGTAAAAAAGATACTCTACGTGCTTTTCCTCTATAGTATATTTATGTACTATATATATATATATATATATATATATATATATATATATATATATAGGTATACGTATATTGCTGACGAATCATTGATCAACGTCAAAGCAAAGAATAGAGTGTATTGTCGTGCACCCGAAAAAGAAGGTAAGAGGTCTGTTGGGTTGGTAGTAGGACAAGAAAGATCGTCCCTTTGGCAAGCGTAAGTGCAGACATAATCTTTCCTACGTATTTTTTTTTTCTTTTCTTTTTTTCATCTTTTCAAAGATTAATCAGTTTCATATATCTCTCCTACGTATGTATATTTAAAAATAAAACCATTTGTAAAATATTATATTAAGTTAGAGAAAAAAGATTAATTTCGATTAGTATTTAACGTAGTTGTAATAAAGATATTGGAATCACTTGGAAAACTTTGTGTCAAAGAAGTTGCTTTTGCACATTACTTTTACTCTATCAAGAAAATTCTAATTTCAAC